AATAAGGCAATCCAAAATGGAGGAAAGGTTGAGGAGCAAAAGGGAAAGCCAGTTTAATCTAGTGACAAAGGCACCAGGCTAGAATCCAGGAGATGGTGAGTTCTAGTCCCATTTTAGGCATAAAAGCCAGCTGGGAGGAGGAAAGTCTGTTACACATATTTGCTGCCTTAAGTTATTTATAAAAATAATAAAGGTGGAGTAAACAATCTTTTTGAAAAAAAAATTGAAAAGAACAATCCAAAGTGGAGTTACTTTCCTAATAGCTGAGAAATGGCTTACCCATAGAAATGCTGAAGTGCAGGTAGTTGGCTGCTATTGTTTTTAATATTTTAGTGGAGAGACCAAGTTTAAAATATTCAGTGCACATGGATGAGTTTCAGTGAGTGCATTGTAGAATAGGGGAATGTATGTTTGTTATGAATTACAAGGAAACTGATAACAAAAATGTGTTTCATCCCATAACTTCTGAGCCAGTCAGGACAACCAGCTTGTCCCATCAAGTGAATCTATAATAGACAAATCTGTGCTATAATCATATTTTAAGTCAGAAACATAATTTTAGACCTAGCCTCTAAAATGGGATGCATCAAAGAGAAAATTCTGCAATGCATTATTTTAGTAGCAACATGCTTTGCAATGAATAAATGAAAGATATCAACTGAAGATAAGATGCCTAGGCATGGAAATAACTAGACTGAAAATTAATCAGACCTATAACAATTACACTGATCACAATATTGCTGAATTAATTATCTTATTACATTGTGATGTTATCCTTCACCCTAACTTTGGAGTAGCAGGGTCTTTAAATTTCAATTCCATCTGGTTTTTCATTATCAACTTGTCAAAAAAAGGTTCTCATCTCTGAAACACAGCAAATAAGAAAAACTAATTAAAAACTTTGCAGTGCATGAATATTTTCTTTAATAAACACTTCCTAGAAGTTTATGATAATGATTTTGTTAAACCAATGCCTCTTTCCTTAGCAACCAGCTGGAAAGTTGCAAAAATATATATATTTTATGAAGAGATCAGGATGACTCCATGAAACTGACAAAGGATTAAATAAAATCTCTTGGGAGGTGATAGTACAAAACTCTAGAAACCATAGTTTTGTGTCTCGAATATTTAGTAAGTCACCTTCCCTGAAGTGAGATCTGGACTTCTGTAGTGTTTTGGCTGTGATCTTTCCTGGCACTATCCCAGAAGCTCAGCAGTAAAATTACAAAATGTTAATCCATATGCTTTATACCTGATCTAGAATTCTTTCTGAACATTATTTTGCACTAGGACTTGTGGCAATAAATGCATGAATTCATTGTGACAATGAATATGTGAACTTCAAGAAAAGTTGAATGTTTTAGACCAAGCTCCAGAAATTGAATGGTTCTTGCTATGAGACTTTAGTAAGATACAATGGGGTTGAAGGAAGACAGATGACCTCTTCTGTTACTAATTGAGTCTGTGTAGTCCTTTTTATTCCAAATATTGTTCACAAGAGGGGATATCCACACAATATGTTGTGGAAGGCCTGGGGGTGGGGGGCACTAGCCTCTAACTAACTAACCGTACTCAACAAATAGTCCTTAATGGGTCTAAGTCTACATGGAGGAAAGTAAGCAGTGGGGTGCCACAAGGTTCTGTCTTAGGCCCAGTGCTCTTCAATATCTTAATAAATGATTTAGATGAGGGATTAGAAGGAGAATTTACCAAATCTGCAGATGATACTAAACTGGCAGGAATAGCTAACACCCAAGAAGATAGGCTCAAGATCCAGATGGATCTTGACAGACTAGAACACTGGGCCTTATCTAACAAGATGAAATTCAATGTAGAGAAAAGTAAAGTCCTACACTTAGGCAAGAAAAACCAAAAGTACCCATATAGACTGGGTGAAACCAGGCTCAATAGCAGTAACTGTGAGAGGGTCTTGGAGTCTTAGTGGACAACCAGCTAAATATGAGCCAGCAGCAGCCCAAAATGCTAATGCAATCCTAAATTGCATTAACAGAGGGATACAATTGAGATCGAGGTACTAATACCACTCTATAAAGCCTTAGTAAGACCACACTTAGACTACTGCCTCCAGTTTTGGTCACCACATTATAAAAAAGATGTTGAGACTCTAGAAAAAGTACAGAGAAGAGCAACCAGGATGATTAGGGGACTGGAGGCTAAAACACACAATGAACGGTTGCAGGAACTGGGCTTGGCTAGTCTAGTGACGAGAAGGACCAGGGGAGACATGATAGCAATGTTCCAATATTTGAGGGGCTACCACAGAGAGGAAGGGGTCAAGCTATCTTCTAAAGCAGCAGAAGGCCAGACAAGGAATAATGTATGGAAACTGAGCAAGGGGAGATTTAACCTGAAAATAAGGAGAAATTTTCTGACAGTGAGAACAATCAACCAATGGAACACCTTGGCCTCGGAAGTTGTGGGAGTGTCATCACTTGAGACTTTCAAGAAGAGATTGGACTGCCATTTGTCAGAAATGATGCAGGGTCTCCTGCTTGGGCGGGGGGTTTGGACTAGATGACCTACAAGGTCCCTTCCAACTCTGATTATCTGTTATCTTTCCAAAGCAGAACTTAGCAAGAATACTTCCTAGTCCCACTGCACAGTGATTTCTTCTTCTAGGTCTTTATTGCTTTGATCCTGTTTTCTTTTTCTATAGGCCCCACTGTCAAAGGTTCCATTCCAAAACATTTGCACAATGTAGCAGCAGGGTCTTTTATTCTTTGGGAAAAGGAAAGCAAGTTGAAGAATTTAATTCATTCCTTGAATTCAGTTACATATGCCGAATATGAAATGTTTTTCTATTAAAGCCTCTAAGACCAATATGTGAGGGACAAGAGGAGAGGACAGGTTAAGTACTGTAATCCCTACAGTCATTATTGCTAATTAGTCCGTTCCATGCATTGTTACTGTGGAGATGTTGTGACTGGTGGGCAATGTGACAACTTTCTGTTGGCTCAATCTGTTGCCTAATAAATGCTAATTCCCTCCAGAAATGTTCAATAAAATCTGAAAAGGAAGTGCTATTTTATTTATTGGAGCAAAATTTGAGCTGCTTTGACAACTTTTAACACATTGAAACCATAATTCTAGAAGCCAGACTTCTGATTATTTTACTTTGTTTCTTTAAGTAACAAGTACACACCTCAAATATGTAGTGGAGCAAAGGATGTGCAAGTACTGTGTTCAGGTGGCAGAAACTATCGTTTGCTTCAGCAAAGGATTCCTCTGAGAACTCTGGATCACCTCCCTCCAGCTTTTTTGCAATAAAGGAAGTGTCTCCACCCAGTAAGTGAGACTAATAGGTCATTGTCCCTTCTTCTAGGAAATTTAACAAAAGATAAATCTCTCACTTGTGAATAATAGCTTTGCTACTTTCAGTGAGAAGCAGAGGTGGTATTCAGCAGGTTCAGCGGAAATTTTGAGTAGTTTAGAGAACCGGCAAATCCCACCTCTGACTGGAGATTTTACAGTATCCTTCCCCTGCCAGGCCCACCAAGCCACCCCCACAGAACCGGTAGTAAAAAAAATTTGAATCCCACCACTGGCAAGAAGCAACACTTGAGATACTGTACAGATGGTATTATATGGTATCACCGTTATAAGAACAACTTCAAATAGGACTTTCATCCAGCAGAGGTTCTGTCCTTCTTCTTCATTCAAACATGGACCTGCCTGGAGTTCTTCCCTTTCCAGAACTTACTGAGAATTCTTCGCTGTAAAGGTACAGTACATTTTAAAATAGCAGCAATTAGTAAACAACTGCACTTTCTCCCTTCCCTTTGCAGAATGCCCCAAAAGCAGCACCTGGGCCTGTAAAAGACTGCAGCAGCCCTTCTCCAATTCTCTGTCCGTGCTTGAGCTCTCCTTCTAGGTTGGATCTCTCCTCCATCCTTGTCGTGTCCGTCGCGGGAAGGAAGCTCAGAGTCAGTGACTTGGTTTCAGCTCTTTATTGGCTCTGGATACAGCTTAAACTTGGAGAGGAAAAACGGCGGCTTTTATTTCCGAGCCGCGTCGGCCGCGGCCAATGGCACCGCTTCGAATCTCCCGCGATTAGTTTCCACCAATCGCGGGGGATTTGCAACGGGCCAATCAGTGCGGCTCGCTCGACCAATCCGGTCGCCGCGCGCTTTAGCCAATCGCGACGCGGGGCTACGAGTATGTAAATTGACTGTACAGAACACCCCTCCCCTCTTGGTTCGGTCCTACGTAACGTAGTCCCGTAGGTAGGCGGGGCTTCGCACTTGCCTACTTGACCTGCGCAGATTAGTTGTTGTTTGGCTCTCGGCCGGTTCGGTCGGGACTTCTGTTTCTCTTGGCCCTGTCGATGGAACCCCCTGGAAGGTGTCGCTGGGCCTCTTGTTGCAGCTCCCTCCCGGTCTACCCGGGTTGGTCGAGCTGCGACTTTCGCCGCTCCTGCCTGGTCTTTCCGGGCTGATTGAGCTGGCCTGGCTGTTCCTTCCTGGTGAGACTTCGGGCTGGCTGTTGACTGGTGAGTATTGCTGGTTATTTCCTATTTGATCCCCTGTATCTTCCCTCCCCTCTTGGTTTGTGTTAACGGGGTCGTCTGTGTTTGGTTGCGTGTCGGTTGTGTTTTTTGTTCTTGATCTTAATTGATCGATGTGGCGTTTCCATGTTTGTCCGTCGGTTGTCTGTAGCCGGTAGGAGTGGGGTCCTGTCAGTTGGGTTATAGTTGCCGGTACCCATAGTGGGTCTCCGGTAAGGTTTTTTGCATAGACTGCGTCGCCTGGTGCAAAAACCCGGTGCTTGCTTGATGAGTCCGGGGGTTTTTCCGGATTGTATGTGGGGTGTAGTCTGTCGAGTGGTGACCTTAGTTTTCTCCCCATTAGTAATTCTGCCGGGCTTTTGTTTGTCGTTGTGTTTGGGGTGATATGTTGTATTAGGAGCATTTTATTTATTTTTTCTTGTATGTCCCCGTGTTCGATCTTTTGGAGGGTTCTTTTTGTAAATTGAACCATCCGTTCTGCCCTACCATTGGCCGCCGGATGCGCCGTCGCTGTCAGTGCGTGTCGTATGCCTCGTTCCGCTAGGAATTTTTCGAATTCCAGCGAGGTGAACTGGGGTCCGTTGTCTGACACGATGACATCCGGGAGACCGTGGGTTGCGAAAAGTTTGTTTAAGACCTTGGTTACCGCATCTGTTGTGGTGGTCTTCATGTTGCTTACCTCCAGCCAGTTGGAGTAAGCATCCACCGTGATGAGGAATGTGTTCCCTTTTGTGGGCCCGGCAAAATCTATATGGAGTCTCGACCATGGCCCCCTGGGCGTTTCCCATTCTAATATTGGTGCTGCGGGGGGATTTGGTCTGGTTTCTTGGCAGCGCGAGCACTTGGCTACCCAGGCCTCGATCTCCTTGTCCATACCTGGCCACCAAGCATAGCTTCTGGCCAAAGCTTTAGTCCTCACAATCCCCGGGTGCCCTTCGTGTAATAATTTTAGTACTTTCCCTTGCAGTTTTTCCGGTATGACCACCCTGTCCCCCCATAGCAAACAACCTTTCTGTAGTGACAGTTCTGTTTGCCGGTTTCGGAATGTCCTGAATGCTTCATCGTTGTCTTTCTCTGGCCATCCCTTTTCTACCCAATGTAATACCCGCGCCAGACGCTTGTCTTTATTAGTCTCTCGGGCAATGTCTGACGCGGTTATGGGTAGGTCGGGCAATGTCTCTATGCTGAGGGTGGTCGTCGTGGGAGCTGGATCGTCGTCTAGGTCAGGAAGCGGCGAGCGGCTCAACGCGTCTGCATGGGAGATCGTCTTACCGGGTCTGTGTGTGAGCCGGTAGTCGTAGGCGGCGAGGAACTCAGACCACCTTGTCATCCTGGGGGATAGGATGTTCGGGGTGGCCTTGTTCCCCGCCAGGATGCCCAGCAGTGGCTTGTGGTCCGTGATGAGGGTGAATCGGCGGCCGTAGAGGTACTCGTGGAACTTCTTTACCGCTGCGACGATGGCCAGTGCCTCCTTATCTAATTGGCTGTAGTTTCTTTCGGGTTTGCTGAGTGTTCTTGAAAAGAAAGCGATGGGTGCTTCTTTTCCGTCTGGAAGTGTATGGCTGAGGACGGCGCCGACGCCAAATGGTGAGGCGTCGCATGTGACGGCGATGGGTAGGGTCTCATTATACTGAATGAGAACGGCATCCGAGGTGAGCAGGTCTTTGGTATTCTTGAATGCGGTGTCCTCCCGTTTCCCCCAGGTCCATTTGGCCGTCCTGTCCAGGAGCCTATGCAAGGGCTCTGCCGCGGTCGCCTTTTGGGGCAAGAACACATTGTAAAAATTTAGCAGTCCCAGAAATGCCTGCAGCTCTGTTTTGTTCTTGGGTGTGGGGGCTTCCTTTATGGCCTTGACTTTGCTTCCGGTTGGGTGGATGCCATGTCGGTCTAGGAGGTACCCCAGGAACTCGACTTGCTCTGTGCATAGCTGGCATTTCTCTTTCTTCACCTTCAGCCCGGCCCCTTTGAATTTTTCTAGCACCTCCCTTAGGCGACCCTCTAATTCCTCCTGGTTGGCTGCCGATACTAATACATCGTCAAAATAAGGGACCACCCCCTTGATTCCTCGCAGCAACCTCTCCATGAGGCTCTGGAAAATTCCTGGGGCCACGCTGACTCCAAACTGGAGTCGGTTACAGCGAAACGCTCCCCGGTGGGTGACTATAGTTTGCGCTTCGGCGGTTTCTTCATCGACCGGCAGTTGCTGATAGGCTTGCGCCAGGTCGAGCTTCGCAAAGACCTTGCCCCCCCCCAGCGAGTGTAATAGGTGTTGCACTACTGGGACGGGGTAGGCGCTTTGTTGCAGTGCGCAATTGAGGGTGGCCTTATAGTCCCCGCAGATCCTTACTGACCCATCTGGCTTGACTGGGGTGACTATAGGGGTCTCCCACCGGGCGTGATCGATTGGCTGCAAAACCCCCTGTTTGACGAGCTTGTCAATCTGCTCGTCTATTTTCTTCCGGAGTGCAAAAGGCACCCGCCTGGGTTTTAGGCGTATGGGGGCGATATTTGGGTCTAGGTTGAAAGAGATAGGGGGCCCTTTGTACTTGCCTAGAGTGCCGTCGAATACTTCTTGGAAATCCCTCGCCAGTTGCTGCTCCCAGTCGGCCTCTGTGGTGTGATTTATTCCCGTGACCTCGATCCCGAGTGGCGCGAACCATTGGAGTCCCAAGAGGCTGGGTCGGTTCCGGTCCACGATAGTCAGGGGGAGTTTCGCGGTGCGGTTTTTGAAAGTCACCTCGAACTGTCCGGTCCCAATGACGGGGATGCGGTTTCCCTGATAGTCCTTGATGATCAGCTTCTGGTTCTCCAGTCCTCTTTTCTGGATGTTTGGCACCAGTCGCTTGAGTTCTTTCCAGGCGACCATGGAGAGGTAGGATCCGGAGTCTACCTCCATCTGGCATGGCTCGCCCTCGATGCTCACCTCCACGTAGACCTTCCGTGCATCAGTGGTTTCGGCATGGCCGATGGTGACCGTCTGGTGGGTTTCTTCTCTCTGACGGCCTTCCCCGTTCCGTCGCCCTCGGTTGTCTCGGCTCCAGCGGTTGTCGGCTTGGCGATCTCTGGCCCTCGGGGGGGTGTCGTCTCGTCCCCGGTTGCTTGGTTCTCGCCGGCGGGGGCTGTGTGTCTTTCGGAGCCGGCAGACTCGGGCGATGTGGCCCTTCTTGTTGCAATGCTGGCAGATCGCGTCGATGAACCGGCATTCTGATCGAAGGTGATTTCCCCCGCACCCGGCGCACTGGTTCCCCGACTTACGACCTCGTTGATCTCGCCGGTCCCGTCCTGTTTGTAGCCGGTGGACGTCTTCCTCCTCGTCTGTGGTCTCGGAGGCGGAGTCCAGGTCCCCGTGGTGTGTGGTGGTCTCCCGTCGGCTTGCCTCGGGGGTTTCAGTGCGGTCCCCGTTCTCTGCCCTCCGAAGTCTGGCTGCTGACTTCCGGGTGGCTTCGGCCGCGGAAGCTTTGGCCAGGGCGTCCCCGAGGTCGATGTTGCCTTTTGCCATCAGTCGACTCTTTAGTGCCTGATCCCGGAGGCCTAGGACCACGCGGTCTCGGAGGACGTCGTCCAGGTCCCGGAACTCGCACATTCCCCCAAGGTCCCGCAAGGCGGCTATGAAGTCGCTGATGCTCTCGTCCTGCCGCTGGTTCCGCCGATAGAACTCATCCCGCCGGATGAGGATGGGTACAGCGGGGGCGTAGTGGTTCCGAAGGAGTGGCTCGAGATCGGCCCAGTCCATTTCCTTCACATCCTCGGGCTTCGCTAGGGCTTTGGCCATCTTAAACACCGCGGGCCCGCAGTGTGTGAGGAAAACGGCCCTTTTCTTTTGCCCGTTCGCATCCTTCAAATTGCTACTTTCGAGGAACATTAGGAATCTATCCGTGTATGATTCCCAGTCCTCGGTAGCTGGGTTGAAGGGTGCTGGTGGGGTCATGCTGGCCATCTCGTCGGTCTTTGTCTTCCTCGGGACACGTGCTCGGTGGTCAGTCTCTGGATCCCACCCTCGTCGCCAGTGTCGTGTCCGTCGCGGGAAGGAAGCTCAGAGTCAGTGACTTGGTTTCAGCTCTTTATTGGCTCTGGATACAGCTTAAACTTGGAGAGGAAAAACGGCGGCTTTTATTTCCGAGCCGCGTCGGCCGCGGCCAATGGCACCGCTTCGAATCTCCCGCGATTAGTTTCCACCAATCGCGGGGGATTCGCAACGGGCCAATCAGTGCGGCTCGCTCGACCAATCCGGTCGCCGCGCGCTTTAGCCAATCGCGACGCGGGGCTACGAGTATGTAAATTGACTGTACAGAACAATCCTGGTCCATATAATCAAGCCAGTTTCTTCTTTTATTCTAAAAAGCCTCTCTCTCAGCTAATGTGCTGGGCATTTTTCTTCCTGATGAGTTTGCTTCCTCCTCCTCCTCCCCATTGTGTTGCAGAAAGGGGATCTCTGCTCAGCGGGAGAGGAAGTATTATTTTTGTTCCCTTCCCCTTATGCTCAAATTGCTTTCTTTACTCGTGTTTTAGACTAAAAAAAAATCTTCCCAGTATGGTTCTTTATCTCTTTTATGCTATTTTTCTTCTTCTTTTTCCTCGCTGTGATGCTATTGTTCAGCTGGAATCTTGCCTTGTTCCTCCCACTGATCCCCAGGTTCTTCTTTTTTAGATTTTTTTGAATTCCATCTTTATTATTTTTATAGACAACTCAAAATGGTGAAACATGTCTAATACTCCTTCCTCCTTCTATTTTTCCACAATAACAACTTTATGAGGTGAGTTGAGCTGAGAGAAAGAGACTGGCCCAAAGTGTATTACTTTTTCAAGCAAATTACAACTAGTTTTTATATAATTTTTACTTAGCAAATATAGCCCAAGGGTGCTTTTTCAAGAGGCAGCTGGACTTTCTGGTTTTTCTTTGAAGACTTTTCGCTTTTCCAGCTCTGACTGGATGGTGGGGAATGGAAGGATTTATACTCCTTTCAGACAGCTGGTCATTTGCATTCTTTTAGCGAGTAGTTGAGCTCACCTGGAGGTTTATGTGTGTTTTCAAAGAAAAACCAGAAAGTTCAGTTGCCTCTTGAAAAAGCATCTTTGGGACAACCATGACCTGGATGACTGAGAATCTCCATAGACACTTAGCAAATATACAATATCCCCAGAAATATTAGGTCTTGAACTAGGCACAATCAAGTTCAGCTTCATGCATAGCCCTGCCATTGGTTTGTAACATGTTGTTCATGTTTGTTTCTACAATTAGAAGCACAGATAAACAACCAAACAACTGCAGGGATATCTTTCAGAACTCCCTATCAGATATCCCTGAGTGTAAAAGGAGAAACACTAAACCATTATAGCCAGATTGTTCAGCTAACATCACAGTACATTTGGCTCCTGCTTTTTCATTCTCCCACCCCACCCCACCTCCATTTCTACAACATAGGCAAATATGATGTTCCAAAAAATATTGTATGTGGCAATAATTAAAGCCAATTACATCCTAAGAAGGAAAGTCTATTAAAATGCATAATTGCTTATTATACTGTCCCTTATGCAAATGTTTTGCCTTAGTACCTATATTTGCCTTGTAAATGGGCTATACATTGAGAGCAAATATCCTACTTTCCAAAATACATGACCACATTAATACTTAAAATGAAGTGTACATTTGTAAGCATATTGAATAATTTAAAATGCATATCAAGCCAATTTAGTAGCAATAGCTTTACATGTAACTTTTATTAGATACGCTTCCATTATTTATCTTGTATAGCACAGCAACTATAAAAAAATAAATAAAATGTAGTAGCAAAAGAATACCAAGGAGTTGTCAGAAAAAATGTTTTCAGCTATAAAAAAGCAGCATTATGACATTATAGACTACTTGTCAGGAAGAAACTACACATAAACTGCAGTTAAGAGACGAAAAGGGGAAGAAGAGAAAATCATATGGAAGGATAGGAATCTTCCCAAGAAGAAAGACAATAGAACCAATCGGGAAAGGGAGGCAGTTCCCGTCACTGGATGCCTTCAGACTCAGAGGGAAGGCAGTCATCTATCTAGACAATTTAATCTGGATTCTTGCACTTAGCAGGCAGATGGATTTAATGGTCTAAATACACTCTGATATGTTCTTATTATTATTTTATGCACTTTTCTGGGACCAAACCCCCAGGGCAACTTCTACCAGGAATTGCCTTTTTAAAATACATACAAGAAATTAGAACACATATAAAAGCAACATTAAAAACATGTGATCAAGATGAAATCCTTTTAAATTGGGTTGGGGGGGGGGGGAGAGAAGGCTTTCACCAGACATTTAAGAGAATTCCCATTATGCCTGTAAAACAACCCAGAAATGTCTGAGTTCAAATACATATGATGATACAATGAACAACATTCAGCTGAAACCAAAAATTTTCTTGCTGGATTTAATGGACAGTCAAGTAGAAAAGAGCCATGGAAGATTATTTTTAAATACGATTACTGGGGCAAGACTATTATATGTGCAAAAATGGGTGGGGGGATCTGAAATATGCACCACACAGGAATATTTGCCTGAACTAGCAGGGATGGCAAAATTAATTTGTTCGAGTAGAGAAAGAGCAAGGACTACTTTTATGAGTGGCTGGAGGGGGACAGAGAGAGGGAGAGAGAGAGGGAAGGAAGGAGAGAGAAATGAAGTTTTGAAAATTAGAAAGGGTAACTTAAGGAAAGAAGAAAATTAGTCCCTTCTAAATCTGTTATTCTGTTAATAATGTAACATTAGAGAAAGAGGGTAAAATATAAATACATATATATAGTTACAATCAAGACCAGAAGCTGCTCCTTTCCTTTCCTTTCCTTTTTTATTTCTTTTTCTATATTCCCTCATCACTATTCACTCATTTTCTTTATTCTCTTTATTTTATCTTATGGCTTACAAACTCAATAGAGAAGGGGTCACTCCACTATTTGGAGAAGGGATAACTTGTAGTGTCAGAATTGTAGCTCAACTAGGAAGTCAGTAAAATTTCCTGAAAGAAGGAACTGTTTCTGAATTGTTGCCAAGGAAACTATATGGACATATCTATGCAGACAGCAGGAATCAAGCTCAACTTGAAGGCAACTTTACTATAAAGTTCAAATAAATACTGCAGCACCCGGGGAGGGATCAAGGTAGCTCAGACTAATACATCATGATGCAAATCCTGCCCCCTTTTTATGGTCATCATAATCTTAACTCCTGCTTCTCATCCCCCCAAAAGACAGAGGCAAAACTTGCAGCATAAACTTGCTGAAAATGTCCAAGATTTTTTAGTTTTTGTTTCTAGCAGGGCTACTCTTCCAGATTTACAAATATGGTCAATACAGGTAGTCCTTGACTTATGACCACAACTGAGTCCAAAATTTGTGTTGCAGAGTGAGACGGTTGTTAAGTGAACTTTGCCCCATTTTGCAACCTTTCTTGCCACCGTTGGTAAGGGAATCACTGCAGTTGTTAAGTTAGTAATATGGTTCTTAAGTGAACCTGGCTTCCCCATTGACTTTGCTTGCCAGAAGGTCACAAAAGGGGATCACATGATCCCCAAGACACACTGCAGCCGTCATAAATATGAGTCAGTTGCCAAACATCTGACTTTTGATCGTGTGACCCTGGGGATGTGGTAGACCTGTCCAGAGGTCAAGAAATATTGGAGTATAATTCGATTGTAGTTAGAAATAATAAAACAGAAAATTGAATCCCAACCAGAACTATTCCTATTAGGCATAATAATGGAAAAATATAATAAAAAAGATACATTATGCTACATATTTTAACAGCTGCTAGGATTTCCTATGCACAATTGTGGAAGCAAGAAAATGTACCATCAGAGGATGTTGTTATAAAAAAAATTTAGACTGTGCAGAGATGGACAGACTAACAATGAAATTAAGAGACAAAGAAGAGTCGATATATTATAATGTCTGGGATGCCTGGTATGAATGGTTTAAGAATAAAAAGAAATCAAAATGGCTATTAAGTATAGAATAAGAAAATATGTAAATACTTATATCTATATTCATATCTATCTATATTTATTTATATATTAAGTTGAAATTGTATAATGAAAGAAATGTGTACATAGAAAGATGATAAGGAAATGTAAAAAATGTCTTGATGTTGATATAATGATGTATAAAGTTTTATTTTATGTTTTTAAATTTTGAAAACTAAATAAAATTTACTAAATTAAAAAAAAGAAAGAATGTTGTCAGTCGAGGACTTAGTCTGCTTCTGAACAGAATGGCTGTTGAGAATGCTCAGACTAATCAGTATAATTGCAAGAGAAAAAGCTGCATTCCTTCCCTTGTGAGAGTATATATGCACACACCTATGGATGTGTATGCATAGGAATTAACATATATAGATTGTCAATGATACAGAGTGGTCAATGCCTGGAACACTCTTCCTGGCTCTGTGGTTTTTTCCCCAAACCCGAAAAACTTTAACCTTAGACTGTCTACTATTGACCTCACCCCTTTCCTAAGAGGTCTGTAGGGGGTGTGCATAAGCGTACCAATGTGCCTACCGTCCCTGTCCTATTGTTTCTTTTATTTTTCTTATATGTATCCATTTCATGTATTCATAACTATGTTTATTCTTATGCCTATTATCTTTTAAGTGATTGACAAATCAAAAATTAAATTTAAATTAAAATAAATTAAAATATATTGAGGATAATAAACCACGATCTTAACAACATGAGCAACACACAACCAAAAGCCTGTGTATGTAGGAATGCGCATAGAGATGTTCTAGGCTGCTTTTCTCCTAATTCCATCAACATTTCCTATTTTTCCCATTTATTTGTT